CACCCCATTCAAGAGCTTTACTTACACCAGCCATAGGATAATATTCATGGACATGGCCCTGAAAAGGAAAGGATAAATAGTAAATAAAACAAAAAAAGATTACAAGCCTCAATTAAAATAACAGTCAAGGAGGGAGGAAGAGATCAAATATGCACCTGACCCTTCCAGATCTACAAAGACCGATGCTGAAATGAGGCTCAACCCATTTTTGCCCACACCTTTTTTTTTTTTAAACCTAAAATGTTTTTGATTAGATTCATAAATAATAGGACTGTCAAAAGATGAAATAGAATGTTCCATAGCTATCCAATAGATTATTTACTTTGTAAATATTTGTATATAGCCCTTTACCACTTTCAACTTAGTGACATCTCCGACAGTGACGTGTGCTATTGAAACGTAACAGGACATCCCAAATTTCCAATCGCTCTGTTGTCATGTGCTCATCAGCAACCTCCCCAAACACCGAACTAATATACAGTGTGGTACTAACGGGAGCCACATGGTGTATCATACCAAGAACTTCACAGGAAAAGCCCACACAGATCTCCAGCAAGCACACAGTGTGTGTATTACCTCTGTGCATAGGGTGCTGTTATCAACTGTTTCTAATGTACAGTCTGTAAAGAAATGGGTGTGCTTCGTGATGTACTGAACATTGCTTTTTAATCTTTCTTTCATTCAGTTTATCAACTCATGTAAATAAATGAGAAACAGACAGAGATTGTTTTAACTGATGATATTTTATTCTAAGGTGAATAATGTTTCATGCTTTATGTCGAAAGAAAAAAGGGAAAGTACAGGGTTGCGATTGTAAGCATAATTACAAATCAGTAGACTGTTGTTGTGAATAAACTGGTCTGGGTGGTGTTATTTTTAATTTCTTGACAATTGATTTTTCGTTGATTGGAAAATTCGACTGATTCCGATTGTTGCTCAATTATGGAATAATTGGCCCGATTCTGATTATCAGTAAAACACTCCATAATATAAAATAAGAACTTTAAATGAACACCAAATAATGATTTAAAAACAGAAATAATAATGCAATTCTCATGATCGTCTATCTGATACATTTTCCTCATCTATTTCTTTACTTAATTTCACCAGGCATAGCAAAAAAAAAGGCTAGCCATGGGCTGCTATCATCCCTGGGGTTAAGGAGGAGCTACCTAACACCTGTGGCCTCTTTGACCTACTGCCGTCTGTACCAGCTAGCTCTGCTGAGGTATAGAGGAGATTCAGCAAGATGAAGATGATCAAGACAAATTTTAGATATTGTCTGTGAACTGACAGGATCACTTATCAGCTTCTGGTTATGTTCCACTTACCTTCAATAAGTGACTTTCATACCATAACAGTTATCCATCTTTAGAACTCAGAATTACTTTGCACAAGGAGACCAAATTCTGGCAGGGTCCAGATTGAGAAGCAGGTGCAGGAGAGTGATGAAAAAGGGGGTCAACGGAAGAATCGAAGAAATGGATGTTGGGAGATTATCGGACACTGACACAAATGCATACTAGATTTCCTTTCATTACTTATTTTGATTAGAAAAGGACACTAATTTAAGTTTAACTCACTACTACCTAAGCCATTTTAAAGTTATCTGCATGTTTTCCATATGTTGCTAATTTGAGCATTTTGCTCATTACAAATTCAAATTCATGAATGACCAATTAACAGCTGGATATGAGAGAATTGATTGCTGTAAAGTTAGTGGTAAAATAAATTGTATGATTTTTCCATATTTCCATCAAAACTATTTGACATTTTATTGACAAATGTATGTCAGCTAGATGGTAATGGGTTATATGGGAACAAGAATAGATTACACTAGCAGTGATGCATAGGTTTTCATTCATTACTTATTTTGATTATTAAAGGACACTACTTTAAGGGGAACAAAAAGTTACTGTTATACCATGTTTTAGAGAAATTAAAGATCATAAATGAAATAAAAATCATTTAAGTGGTTTGAAAAATAAAATGGTTTGACTTGTGTTTTTTGTTCATGAAATACGAGTTCACAACAAAATAAATTTAGATATGTTGATATTTTAGGTTTCGTTTCAATTCATATAACATCTGCTATTTAGTTTAGTGATTTTTCTGGTAACTTTCACTATACGGTACATTTTAAAATGAGCTATAGGATTAGCCCCTAAAACTGCTTATGGGCCCCTAAAAATGTATGTTTTGGGGCCATGCGGGCTCCAATAAAAAAAAAAAAAGTTAAGCGTGAGCCCTACAGGGGAATGGTGAGGTACTTCCATCATAAGGTGATGAGAGGAGAGGTATCTGAGAAGGACAGTAATAATGTATGAAGGCAGGAAAATTGGGTACAAGAAAGCTGACAAGGAATCCATCCCCACCTCAAACCAGCAAACGAGACTCCAAGTGTTGGATGTCAAGGGAAGGTAGGGGAGAGTGACTATAAGCAAGGAGATAGGAATCAGACAGATGAGGTTACACGAACATGAAGTACATTGAGAAAGGAGTTGGCATGAATGGTAATATCAGGGGAGAGGGGGAAAAAGAAAGAAGTTGCAAGGAGATAGGTTATGTAAGAGGGAACAGGAAGCATCATAGGCTATGGGGGACAGAGAAAGAATAGTATATATTTGGGTAATGATGTTCTGGAAACTCAAAGAAGATTAGAGTTGTTCTTTTGAAGGCATTGGAGGTACCCAAAGCAAAGCCTGGAGGTGGGAAAAAAAATCATTCAATATCATCATCCTCAGCATCAGTATCAAATGCTAGAGAAGGGAATTGTGTGGTAGGAGCAGAAGTAGAGGATCCCAGCAACATCATGGACCCCATCACATATTGTACAATGGTTGTCACATCTTTCACAGATAAAGGACTTCCAGAATTGTTGGGAATTTGATCAGTGTGAGTGATATTTTCACCCACATCAATTGAAGGAGAATTCACATTGAATTGTGAATTCATAAAGATTACGTTAAAACACAACCAAAGTAAGATGAGAAGTTATTGGACAAATCTCAGCAAACAAAAACAAATCTTCACACAACTGTACCAAGGAAAATATTGAGGATTCTCTTGCACGAACATAGAGGGCTGACTCGTAAAAGGAGGTATGTCACACACCTACTGGGGGAGGGTTTTACTGCATGATATGTTATCATATAGTGGAGCACACATACATGAATAAATGTGAATTTAGGTGAGAGTTCTCACATGGCTGGTTGCATGCAAGTCTCTCAGGTAGGTAAGCATGACTTCAGAAGGAAAATAGCTATCTGTGTACAGTGACGAGTATTCATTTCAGAATGAAGCATTACTCCATTATTATGTTTAATTTAGGAACTGATCTGTTGAGCAAAAAAGTGGATATTATTTTTAACTGTTTTATTCCTGCAGTAACTATTCATGTTTTATTTCTTTACACCATCTGTAAGTCATCTTTGAATTATGAATAAATAATGTAGTGAAAGTTTTTATTTCTATTAGTAATTGAAATTATACAGGAGTTTTATATAACAAGTCCCTTAAATTTGAAAAGATGTGTTTTAAGACCTGCAAATAAAACGTTTATAAAAATATTGTTATTGTATTGTTTTTCATCATGTTTCATAGCACTCATGGATAGTTTGATATTTAAACTCAATACTCATGCCATAAACCTAAAGGTTTTTCAACTCACAATTACTTGAAAATGGTCTGTTTATACAAATTTATTTTAGTTTTTTCATGGTCAAGTTCAATATGGCAAACTATGGTTTGGTATAAAAGATGACCTAATTGGCAACATCTATGCCATTTAATGTTTTTGCTGCTCCATGCATCATATGATGTTTCATGTTTTCTTACCACTGTTTAAAACACCAGCTGATATTTGGTTGTACCAATGACCCATGAATATCACTCTTGATGAAATACATAGTAGGAAGAAATCTATATAGTATAAATATTAGGGATTTTTACAGTAACCTTAGAGATTTATATTAATGTGCTAAGTATACTGTAATATGTGGACAATATAGTCGTGTTATTCGTGACCAACACTGTGCGAGTGCAAGACGTAAGAGAGGAGTGCAATACCACAGAAAGCACTATAATAAATTGCCAGTACAGAATAAATATTCACATATTCTTTTTGTCAAATATCAATACACCTAATATACATACATTTTAATCATTTATATTGCAAAACTGAGAATAGATGGTGACTACAGTTGTGATTAATAACATTGTTTCACTTGCTGGTGACATGTCGTACCAAGTCTAATGATCAGGAAATTGAGTTAAGAAGACTGTAGCTTCAACTTGTTGATTAGATGCCAAGGCATTTAACATATGGATCAGCTAGCTAGACTCAAATTAGGGGCAAGTTGATGTGAAGTTCTGTCAGCAGCATGGTTAGAAATATTCTGTCAAAGTGGTTGCTCATTGAAGGTAATGATAAAGTAAAAATCAAATTAACTAAAGATCATCCTTTCCACATTCCTCTTGATTTGGCTTTGATTAGACATATGTTAGAGCTATTAGCTTCTAATGTTTGGTCAGCATCTGTATTAAACCATGGCTTGTAATAATAAAATAATTTTATAACATACAATAGTTGAGGGTGGCAATCAGCAGTAGACTACTGAAGACACTGATAAATAAGGTGCTCATGACCTGGATACACCAGTTTCTGCCTAAACTGAGCATATCTTCTGTAATATGAAAATTAAAATGAGTTTTAATGTTAAAAAATATTTTGAAACATGACACAGTAGATTGATCTATACATACAAATAAAATATATACATATTTATTAACAATTAATACTTGATATAATTAATTATGACATAGTTACAGATAATGTTGTTGCTAGTACCAGTCCTCAATTTGCTAGTGGAAAAAAAACAAAAAAAAACAGCCACCATTTGTTCGTGCCTTCAAAAATGAAGGCTGAGCCATGCTTTTAGAAATATATATTAATTTGTTCTCACTAGTTTAACCACATTAAAACTTTTAAAAACACTAACCTTTGATTCTTTCCTTTTCTGCATCTTTGAAACTTTATCTGATTCTAATGAGAAGAAGAAAAATTAGTTGAATCAGTACCTATGATGCTTATGCTATACTTCTAAATGTGTAATTGGATATTCTTTAGAAGGAATTTCACAAATATATTACTTTAATTTGGATAGTAGCCCCAACCCTCTCTTTGACCCATATTTGTAAACATTTAAGATTATGAAGTGTAGGTAGTAAAAGTAATGATCTCTGTATAACTTGTACTTTAATCTACCACTATGATTCACCTAAGAAATAACTCAAATATTTTCAATTCTTACTTTTGCTTAGATCAAATGTACAAACTGAAGAAGGTACAACAGCTCCTTCATCATGGAAGCCAGGGCTAGTCTGGCCCTCTGCTGGAGAAACACCAGAACCACTATCTGATTCTGACCTGAAAAATATCAAAAAATAAGGTCACTCACAATAAGCAGTAAACAAAAAAAATAAAAAATAAAATAAAACTGTATTTGGAAAAGGACTACCACTTAATCTTTAAATGATATTTTTCACAAAACCAAATCTTTAATATTTAAGATATGCAACACTTCCTTTCTAGACATGTCTACCATCATCATCATTCCAATCATAATATAATAATTTTATTATTATTAATCTTGCAGGATTCAGAATTGTTTTTAACAAATACATCAACAACTTTGTATGCACATAATTAAAGAAATTATTGAGCAAATCAATCATATAATTTTCCACTGTAGAATGTATGTATCATTATGTAATGTATAGGTTGTTGAATCTACTGTGTGTGTGAGCTTGTGATTTTTATCCTACTTATAGCAGTTTTAAACTTTTTATATTGTTATGTATCTGCTTGTTTGTTAATTTCCAGTATCAATTCTTTCCGAGGAACTTCAGCGATACAAGTCCCTTCTTGATTAAAATTAGTTTATTCTTTCTCGATATGAACTTTGTAGTACACAGAATTTCCACAGTCAATACGTTCCTCGTTGTTTTAAACTTAACGACTTTTATAATACATGCTATAAATCACAACAATTCACAATCTCGATAACTTACCGCGACTACTGTTCGTTTTAACCATACATTCCTTTGCTCCAGGCTTTCTCTGCCAGGCTTATATACTAAAAAAGAGAGTGTCTCGAACAAACTCGGGCCTACACGATAATTCATGATCAATCGAGAAATTCATCACATGTTACCAGCATCATACTACTTCTGCTGTCATAACAGTATCTAAAATTCATGGGATACTTTTTAAAAGTACCTGCAGGTATAGGTTTTTTCTCTTTATAACAAAGCCACATCAAGCTATCTGCTGTGCCCACCGAGGGGAATTAAACCCCTGATTTTAGCATTATAAATCTGAAGACTTACTGCTGTCCCACAGAGGGAAGTACTTGCGGGCCACACTGTATGAAGCAAAAGTAAAATTTAAAAAGATTGTGATTTCCTTAACAAAATTTTTTGTTATTACCATAAAAAAGGTACAAATAGACTAGCAGTAGAATATACAGCAAATGAGAGTATTATTCAAATAATAAAACTTATGAAATATAAAATGTTTTAAGTCATTTACCATAACAGTAGGTGGATCAGATGCATTTGTAGCTAACAATCTGTATTTTAATATTATACAAGTTTTAAGTTCTTAAACTTATAAGGCAATATTAAAAAAAAATCCTGAACTTCCTCTAATGTGAGAAATATGACATTTTTTTTTCTCTAATTTATTTACTACCCTTCCAAATAAGTATGTAAATTACTCACTATAATATCATCATCACTCAAACAAAGCATAATTTTCCTAGCCTTCAATCTTGTTAGGTTATAGAACCATCACACAGAAAATCAGACCCCTCTTGTCACATTCTCTCTTTCAGGATTTAATCGTTCTCTGTTACATTTAATACTATATTATTTGTAACCAATAAAAAGCCAAGGTTTTCATCTGCCAAATGACATATTATATTAAATTGTTTTTTGTACAGAAGATAGTCTATTTCTTTTTAGTACAAGCTTCATTCCAACAGGAAAGATATTGACTAATTTGGATGAATTTGTAATGGCTGTTGTCATATAGTTAGAAATTCTTCATTGGTGATTACCCCTATATACACAATAATTGTCATTGAGACAAAAATAGAATAATTTAAGTAAAAATAAACTCATTATATTTTATTTATTAAAAGTAATTTAATTCCAGAATTTTATCACTTTGTAGGCACTCGTTTTTTTCCTTGATTGATTACAGAAAAAAAATGACTTCATGGGGGGGCTCGTGGGCTGTACATTGCACATGCTTGATGTAATTGAACCAAGAATTAAATATCATGTAATAAGTTTTAGCTAATATTCCTGAGTCACCACTACTTCAAAATAATTATTTTATCTTACATAATTAGTTTCTGTACCCTAAAAAAAAAAGAAACACTAGTTATCTCAAATATAATTACATTAAAGCTTTTCATATCAATGTATTTTGCCACCACTGAAACCTTATATTTTAATATGATCCCCATTATACATCAGTTAGTTGTTATTTTAAAGTCTGCAGTTTTTAAAAAACTACTAATAATAATAATAAATATTCAAGTAAGGTAAGAAATGGCACAATCCAATCTTATATCTAAAGTTATCTTGTAACATGGACTGTATTGTGTGAATATTAACTAAAAGCAATTACTGTTATAATTATTTTTGATTACAAAATCAGATACAATTTTTAAGGAATTTATTACAAATTAACTAAATCCAAACACGAATTATTTTGTTATTAATCATTAATTCTGAATTTGCAATGTAATCGAAATCTCAAATTGCAATTTTTGCTAAAATATAAAACTTTCCCCTATGACTTATACACTGTTAACTGTGTTACAAAATAGTGTCATCTGGTAAAACAACTTCTATCTTACAGTGAAAGGTTTCTCTCCTATGAATACAAACTACAAATATTTTAGATATTTTACTTGCAGCCACATGCAATATAAATATAGTTTAACACAGAGTGAAGTGCCATAAGTTTCATAAGCAATTTTCAGTTTTTATTCGTAAGTAGCATTAACCCACAGAAAGAATCTGCTTATACAAGTACTGTCCAGTTTTTATATTAAAATCACACTGACAAAAAGAAATTACTTTCAAACAAATGTAGTTGACATTCCAGTATTAAAACAAACATACATGTATTTTGTTAAGTATTTCAAAATGTATATTTTTGTACCAGGTAAGAAAGCAACCATTTTAAAAGCTCAAATGTATGAAAATTTCCCCTCAGGAAAGTTAGATTTTAAATCAGGTTACATGTATTAGTCACCTACAGATATCACATTTAGTAGATCATGCCTTTCTATGACCCATTTAGTGAATATAAAAATATCATTAAACTTTAAAATGAGGTCAATATGAATTCCAATGAAGGAAGTAAACTGGAACTTACAGTAATGATAATGAATCAGAAAAGTTTGTTGAAGTTTTTCAACAAGAATTTTACATGTAGTATGAAAGAAAGTTTATTTTTATCTACAGTAATACATGAAAATATATAAGATCTTTAAAGTTATTTTTTAATTACCTAAAATCCTTTAAAGTAACAATCTATATGTACAAAGATAATAATCAGCTACAGATGATTTATTTTTATTTTTTTTGTAAAGAATATTTTGGAAGGTAAAGAGCTAAGTTTAGAGATGAAATAAAAATCTATCTACAGAGAAGGTAGTAACATTTCTTCCATGCCCATCTTGATTCTTTTAGTACTTCAAAATATTTGTTAAACATAAAATAAATAGGCACGGGACATGAAACATTATTGCAAGCAAAAACTGAATTTCAAATACTTAATTTGTGTATTTGACTGCAGGTTTATTAAAAAAACACGTCAACTAACATTTAGTCTAAGACTAAAGGTTAGTAAAATCCAAAACATTTCACTTAAGAATGCATGATACTAAAATAATACAAGAACATTTTACACATTACATACATAGGTACAACCAAATGTATACAGATAATTAGAACAAATACCAACTTGATCACCTTTGTGAGATGCAAAGAGTATGAGAACACATTTGTTTTGTTTGTTTGTAGTTATGCATAAAGCTACACAATGGGCTATCTGTGCTCTGTCCACCACAGGTATCAAAACCTGGTTTCTAGCGTTGTAAGTCCGCAGACATACCGCTGTGCCACTGGGGGGCAAGAAAACACATGATGCAGTATTTTTATTTGTTTTATTTATGTAGTACGTTTGTTCATTGAGAAAGCAATTTTCTAAAAATGAAAATAACACCAGAATAAAGTCAAAGTCCACAAAAACAAACAAATTTCATAAGCTTAGTGCGAGTAAAAAATAAAAATACTTTCATCTCTCATAAAATGTGAAACTATAAATCTCATTACTTACATGACAAGATCATAAACTTTCAAAATCTCACTAGTGATGAACTAATACACAAGAGATGTAGCTCACTCTAAAGTTCTCTGTACACTTACCAACCACACCTGTGTGCTGCATGTTGATCTTTAAGGCCACGAGGGAGAAGACAACCTTGTTCAGGGAAGGAGTCTGAATGTAGCCGAGGACGATAACTTGATATTGAAAACCTTGCCTCTCCAGAGGAGTGAGAAGACGAGCTTGAATGGGTGGATAGTCCTTTTCTTTGAAATCCAAAACCACCACTTGGACTACGAGTCAAGTGAGAAGGTTTCCGAGGTAGATCACTTACAGATAATTGTGGCCTCTTCCTATGAAATCCATGTTCAGTAAAGCTCTGGCTCCGCCAACTAGTTTTTGATTGGGTTTGGTCTTTTTTCCTGCTTCCTTCTTGAAACCTTGGTTCTGGTTTCTCACCTGAGCTAAGATTACCTATTTTGGAACATCCACTTTTTCTCTCCTGAATGTCCCTAATCATGTTATTATCTGTAACTGAGACACTAGCCACACAGTTTTTTACTCCATCTTCAATACTTCTTTCTTTGTCAACATTTTGGTCAGGTTTTGATACGGGAGTTTTTTCTTTAGCCATCTCAGTGTTTTGTATCTTACAAAAATCCTCCTTTTCATAGTCTGTGTTTTTCATCTAAAAAAATTTTAAAAACAAAAATAATATGTATTCCAAGTGAGTTACCTTGCAATTAATGATACAAAAATATAGTTCACATAGTAATTTAGAAAAGCAAGTTAATATATAAACAACTTCCTTTATTTACCAATACATGTACAGCTTTTTTCTAATTTCTCATGTCTTCAAGATATTTTACTGTTTGTTGTTAGTTTTAATCACAAAATTAGTTTTTCATGAAACAGATATTTTAATATTAAATTAACTGATTTAAGATCTGTTATAACTTACTATATATTCAAAGAGCTGTTACATCTTCCTTCATACATTTGTTCTAAAAATATGCTTTTGATGCACAGACCTAAACTGCAGTTGATGCTAGACACTTAATTTAAAACCAGTATACTTAAGCAAGTGTCCTACCTTCTACATCACCTCACTGTGAACTGATTCACCTACTAGATGGAGCATGCAGGTACTAGCAGTATATATGTATATGTGTTACACTACACTGTACATCAGCTATATAGCAATATAACGAGCTAATAAATATGTATGAGGGTTTAGTGAGATAACACTTATCAGATGAACATGAAGGTAATTTTGAAATAAGTACAGGACATGTTTAAGCAAATGCCATATAAAACATTAATGACAATTACATTTCTGCACTATATAATGCATTTAAAATATTTTAAGTTGGGAAGTAAACACAACTTATTCTATGTGAATGAAACAGGTGGAATTCAAAATAGATTTGGAGATATCTTCAAAATTAATACATAAAATTTAATTGTAGACCAGAACTATACTTATATATTAATTTGTCTTTTCTAAATAAAATTATGTTGCTCACACAGAAAATTATGAATTTAGAATCAATCACCATTAATCCCATATTTGGTATTAAATAGTGGTTCTCTGAACTGTTGTTCCTGTTTTACAATTGTATTTTCAGGATTTCTGGTCAATTCAAGAAATTATATTTTTTATGCTTATTTTTTCTAGGAATGTAAAAGTTCACAACAATGACTTTAATATTAAGAATATTTCCTTGGAAACACTAAAAATATTGAAAAAAGAAGAATTAAAGAATATCTTAAATTGAGATGTTTAAGATTTTAAAAGGGAATTGATAGTGTTGTTGTATCATCTTTTTTCATACTTAATGGTGAGAATGCTAGAACTAGAGAACACGTATATATTATGGCAGGGTAGGAATTATCCTCAGCTAAGACAATTTTATTTTTCTAACAAGGCACTGACCTTTGGAATGCGTTGCCTTCAAATGCAATACATGCAGTAAATTTGTGGAAGATTGAGGAAAGGCTTGATAAATATTTAAATGACAAGGATTGGTACTTAAAAACAAAACTTACAGTTTAGTGAATAGGATGATCTAGGTGGACCAACAGGTACCTTGCTGTCCTTAAATTTTATATATTCTTCAGACTTCTCATATTCAAAAGGGCATTGACAGTTTTAGTTACTATGCTAGAATGTGCAATATTAAGCTTCAGTTTCAAGTTGGAAAACAATTTCAATTGAAGTGAGACAAGAGTATTGGTGTTGTGGGGGGGAAAAAAAAGGATACAATATAATTTTATCAAAAGCATGAAGCCTTTATCATAGAGTTGTGGATTTTGGTGCATGTATAGGGATTACAAATTTAACTGTAAAAATAAAACCTGTTTAAAACTATATGACAAAGCTTAAGTACGGACATAATCCACATGCAGAGAGCTCTGTACAGTTTTAGTTCACGCACAACAGGACAGATATCAACATGAGAGACAGGACAATACATTTACTGGGATGATATCTGATCTAACAAATTTAACCTAAATAGAGAAGCTTAAAGTTTTGGGCGTATTTTTATCTTAAGTATACAGACATTAGAAGTGACTTTAATCAGGCATTTAAATTTGTTAGGTTTCTGCAGTCTGCCTAACACTGATATCAAATGTTATGCAGATATTTTGCCCAGCAACTTGCTCCTATCCACTTAGCTAAGAAGTTCTTTATTAAAATCCAGTTTTCAGTAAAGAACATATTTCAAAACAGTAAATGAGTACATAATTATTCCTCTACATGTTTACTTTGCTAAAGTCAATATCCTTAGAAACTCTTAAAAATATAACAAAAATACCCTTTGACAACATAAATTAATCACATCTCTGCTGTTTTTAATTGCACAAGTTAAAAAAGATGAAATATTACTCAAAATTTAAATCCAAAAAAATATTGAACAATAAATATAGAACATCTTTTTTTTTATCCAATGTATGTCTAATTGTATAACTGTGATCAACAAATGAGCTTACAGTAAACTGTAGCTCCTCAGGAAAGAGAAATCTGACCATCTTTTAACAAAATTGAATGAACATTGATGACAACTTAGAGGATGCTTATTTCAATATTTTGTACCACTGATTGAGGATTATCTTTTTAATAAATACTATTTAAATAGTTGGTCTCAAAAGTTACATTGTGGGATAATGCAGGAAAACAAATTACACTAGTAGTAACAGCTTCAGTAAAAGAGGCACCATTTCTACCCCCCCCCCCCCAATAACAAATACAGAAAACTCATAAATGACTCTAGTTAAAGTGGTGTTATTTTATATTAGTGTTCAGTCTGTTGAATAGTTTGTGTTTCAGGAAATTATGAGAAGACTGAATGAGTATAGAAATCAGGGTTACATATAACAAAAAAAAAAAAGTTTCTCTAACTAAATAGTTTTTGAGAAGGATGGTTGTTGAAAATGGGATAGCCTAAATGGGCCATATGTCTCCTTGTTACTCACTGGAAATTAAATGTCTGATCATTTGTTCCATTTCCTTATGAAATTGGAATTTCTGCTAAGGACAGACAATTTTCTGGTGAAGGTTATGTGTTTGAGGTTAAAGCAGTGGTTCACACTCCCTTTGTAGGCCCACAATATCACATTAAAATCTTTATAGCTTTTGGTACAAAAGTCAGTTTCTTAATCCCAACCATCAAGATCAAAGTTCTCAGATTGTGTTAGTCCAGAGCACTTTCTGCTTCACAAAGTTAAGTACTAAATATACAGCTACAAACACATCTTATCCACTATTCACATGTTTTATTTTGCATTATTTGCAAACCTTTATATAAGAATAAAAACAATTCCAACATTATTAATATTAATGCCTAACTTTCGTCACTTACACTTACAAGTTAGTGTACATTTAACATCAAATTAGAACTTACATTACGTCACATTGTCAAACTTCCAACTACACTTTCATATTGTCTCCAAAAACTATATATACGCCATTAAAAATATTTCTCTGACAATGTACTACAAAGGAAAATCAATATAATTTATTTTTCAAGCACTCTGAATTTTCATACACAAAAACCATACACGATAATCATAATCCTATAATTCTGTCAATGTTGTGACAGTAATTAATAACCATTCCATTTTGCGTCCTCTATGCTCTACCAATAAATTCAAAGAAAAATATGTAATTTCAGACATAAATAATAGAATATATTCAGATTTAAATTTCTAAAAGTTATGACAATTCGCTCATATTGGTGCAAATTACTTTGAAACACACATTTCTCTACTCAGGTGGTTAGGGAGCTCGACTCACAATCTGTAGGTCGCGAGTTCGAATCCCCGTTCCACCAAACATGCTCGCCCTTTCAGCCGTGGGGGCGTTATTATGTGCGGTCAATCCCACTATTTGTTGGTAAAAGAATAGCCCAAGCGTTGGCGGTGGGTGGTGGTGATTAGCTGCCTTCCCTCTAGTCTTACACTGCTAAATTAGAGACGGCTAGCACAGATAGCCCTCGTGTAGCTTTGCGCGAAATTCAAACCAAACCAACCCTATTTTATCCAACAATTCTAGAAAAAGTACGAAATTAAAGCAAGTTATTCTCTGTAAAATCGTCATTGCTCAGACAAACTATAATTTTACAGTCTTCAATTTTGTTTTGTTACAGAGCTTTCCAATAGAAAATCAGGCCCCTCCTGCCATACCTACATGTCACATCCTCTATGGTCGTTAGTTAATTTTCCGTAAAAATTCTGTCCGAAGAAACTTTAGCGATACAAGTCCTTTCTTAAATAAAACTAGTTTATTCTTTCTCAATACAACTTTGCAATACACTTAATTTCTACAGTCACGCTATAATTTAAACAAACGCTATAATTCATAACGAACGAACGATTCACGCGCTTGACTCAATTGTCGTCTCTATCTCTGTTCGCAATTCAATTACATAGTTGCTGTCACTTCATGGCGGTCTTATATACAAGAATACCGAAAATCTAGTAAACACT